ATGATAATGTCCATAAAATTTTTAATTTAACGTTTTGATCAGAATTTGAATATGAAATATATACAATTTTTGTATGTAAATATAAATATCCATATGTATATAAAATACAAAGTTTTTGTTCTATGGTTTTCGACTGATTTTTAACTCGAGTTCAAAATAGAAAAGTCATGTGATACAGCAAAAAAATGAAGATTAGGAGACAAACCTAAAGGATATGAAAACTATGGATACTGAAAACAAAAGTTATTTTTTCCTTATTTATTTATTTTTTGTCTTTTTGAGACAGGGTGTCACTATGCAGTTCATACTGGCCTTGAACTTAAAGTCATTCTCCTGCCTCAGCCCAAGTGAGGTGAAATTATTTTTTCATTCCTAGCTGAAATTATCTTTTCTACTTTTCTTATTTATTGATCTGGCAGCTGAATTCCTTAAAATTAACTAAATCACTCAATGTAGTGCTTTCACATAGGTCGTAATAGGGTTGAGTTTCATTTCTGCCGGTCTAATGTTTTTCCTGGAAAATGTATGAACACAGTTCATTACTGTTACTGTCACAGTACTCTATTATTACTGTAGTCATAGTTACCATTGCTTGTTATTTATTTCCATGCAGCAGATTTGTATACAGCTTCATGGCAGAAAATTACCATTTTATTTTGCTTGTAGTTGCCAGCTGGGGAAGGGCAGCTTGGTTATCTCATGGTTGCACTGAACTGTTAGCAGCAGCAGCAGCCATCTGAAGCCTTTTCCCCTGCACCCTTTTTTTCCCTCTTGCCTTCTTTCTCTTATACCTGTAGGGACAAGTGTCATTTTTGCTTTAGTTTGTTTGAAATTTAATGAACTGGATATGGCTTAGGGATTGGAATTTCTACACTTTTACCCTCAAGATCAATGGGATTATTAAGCAAATCCTTTTCATGATTTCATTCTTATAATACAACAAGTTATAAATAAAAAGAGATGGGATAGTATCTTAATTCCTACTGTAAGAAATAATTATAACAAGTAAATAACTTTTAGTGGCTGACAGTATTTGCCTGGAATAAACCAACATGAGCAAGGCTCTCAGTTCAGTCTATTGTACTGTAGGAAAGAATTTTAAATTGGAAGAGACGTAGATGTAATCCAACCCAGTCACTTTATTTTAAAGGTGAAATCAATTTGAAACTATAACATTAACAAAATTTCTTTCCTTGCTGCAGATTTTTATTTACAGAAGCATGTATATTACAGTCTACCTAATTTTATTTATGCAAATTCTGTTGAGTATTTGTCTCTGCTGTCCCTAAAGTAACAGAACATCATGTACTCAGCAGTGCTATTTATACCCATGACATTCTTTGTACTATTACTTCTTATTCTTTTTTTGTATGGCTCATATGAAATAGGAGAAAATGTTTGTGTTGTGTTAGATGGAACCAGAAGGAAAATAAAATCAAGAGCACATCTTAACTTTTAAAAATTTAACCTCCCCCCCATATATATAAATATAAAAGTACAAGATTTATTTGTAATGATCACATACAATTCAAAAGAAAATTATCTCTATGGTTACTTACAAATAAGTCAATCTAAACATAATTTATAATTAGAGATTATTACTATTTCTCAGAAGGAATAGGAACTTTTAGGTAAAGTTAATATTTTGAGAGATTATATTCATTGTTGTCATTTTTTATAACCATAGTTCATTTATCTGTGTGGAATGACTGGATCATTAATCTCTGTGACTTTGAGGTGTGTAGCTGTTAATACAAATGCAATAGTTTGAAACATTTTTGTGCTGTAAAACTATATTCTGAGACATTCACAGGGGAAATCCTGAATGCATTTCTAAGCTGCCAGATCTTTACATTTTAGGCTGGCGACCACTGGATTTCTTTTTTTTTTTAAATTTTGTTTATTTGTGTGTGTGTGTGTGTGTGTGTGTGGCCAGCTCAGCCCACCTGGGGGCGGGGCTGGCTGGTATGTGGTGCTGGGGATTGAACCGTGGTCCCTGTGCATTGCTAAGCTTGTTCTAAGTAGGTGCTTTAGACCACTGAGCCATCTCACCAGCCCCGACCACTGGATTTCTTTTTTCTTTTTTTTTGGTGGAACCGGGAATTGACCCTTGCACTTGCCAGGGAAGCGCTTATTCCACTAACTATATTCTTATCTTTGTGGAAAAAAAAAAATGAGGGGCTGGGGAGATAGCTCAGTAGAATAAGTGCTTGCCTGGCAAACACAAGAGCCTGAGTTCAATCCCTGGTTTTGAAAAAAAATAAAAAAATAAAAACTAGAAAAAAAATAAGGAAAACCTTTATCACTCGGAGATAATCATCACTTATTAATATTGCTTGTTTATTTTTCATCTTTACTCTTACACAACTGAGAAATAATCATTAGCAAAATGTTACCATGTGGATATATATTAAATGTTCTTGGCTTTATACAAGACAAAATTTAAATGGGCAGCTACAGCTGATTTGCCAAAAATTGTAGCAAAAACGGGATTATTGAAATTAAAACTTGGAGTTTTTCATAAACAAATAAGAGAAAAAAAATTTACTCTTGGAGGTATAAAGTTGTATGGATGTATTTTTTGAGATGTCATCTCACTGTGTAGTTTAGACTGGCTTTGAACTTACTATGTATTAGGCAGGCCTTGATCTCACAGTGATCCTTCTGCCTCTGCCTCCTGATCCACCAATTTTAATGCATTGCTTTTGACTTCTAGAAAGATCTATATATTAACTTCCACATATACCCATTTAAATACTATTTTATTAGTTTAATATTCAGTTCTTTAAATATTATTTTCTTTTCATCTATCTGGTAAATTCATTCTTTTCAGATTGTGCTCTGGTTCAGTGCAAGTCTTTTGATAAGCATGCTGTGTCTTGACCTAGGCCCATGGCTTTTGCTGTTCGGCAGCTATGCTGAAGTCTTGCCAGAAGCCTAATGGCCAAATGAAATGCCTAGGTTTCCTGCACTGTCCGATTTGCAGCTGACAGGAGATTTCTTCCTGCCTTTTAGTTTTAGAGTTGATTAAAAGCAGTTCCAAGTTATGACGCCTTACATAAATCTTCAGGTTTCATCTTACTGTTCTAGTCCTTCAAGCTCTTCTTTGGATTTAATAACCTGATAAATTATTGCCTGCTTTCCTGTCCAAGGTCTATATAAGGCCTTAAAAGGGCTGTGTAAATGTTGTCTGGCTGCAACTGTACTTGACCTGTTTCCTCTTGGCACTTAAATTGTCACCTTCTCCCTGGCTCTTGTACTACATCTTCATGATAAATAGGAAGAGGCTTGACAGTCCATCATGTGTTTGGAGGGGTGGAAAATTGTGGCCATGAAGATAGATAGATTGATTGATTTCTCTTTGTTTGTTTGTCTGTCTTTTTTAGACAGTGTCTTGCTATGCATCTCAGGCTGGCCTTGAGCTCACTTTGTAGTCCAGGCTGTTCTCGAACTTGTGATGATCCTCCTGCCTCAGCCTCTCAAGTGCTGTTTTTATCTTCTTTAATATCTGAAATTTCTATCAGTGGTAGTTATTCCTGCTTGCTGAAATTATTATTTCTCAAAATAAAAAGATGAGATTGATTCTGGATGATATAATCCATAATCTTGAGCAGATTGTTTTAATGAAGATTAGACAGCATACAAGTGTTCTTGAAAAAATACTAACTTAAAACTATATTCATATTCATTGTTGAATAAATAGAAAAGATTAACAAAAGTGACTTAGAGGTTGCCATAGTTACTTTTCTTGTCAGTGAGACAAAATCTCTGACATCCAAAGTTAAAGGAGGAAAGGTGTATTATAGCTCACAGTTGGTAGAGGTTTCAGTCCATAGGTGGGTGGTTGCATGGCAGAGTGGCATGGCAGAGGAGAAATACTTCATGGCATGCAGAAAGCAGCAAAGCATGAAAGTAGGGAAGAAGCAACAGCAAGTGACAAGAGCAGCCTTCTTTCTGTACCTTATAGTCTACCTAAGCTATTGTTCTTAAGGGGTATAGGTGGTGTTATGGTTTGTATCTAGTTGCCCCTTCCCTCCCAAGCCTCCTGCAGTCATGGGGCAGCTTCTAGAGTTTGTGATTAATTCATGATCGAATGCTGGGATTATGGGTTTAAATGCTACAGCCCCCTGGAGCAGATAGTCTGAATGCAATATAAGGAAAGGAGAGAAACCTGCTCTCTGCTGATGCTGCCACTGCTCCTGCCTTTTTGCTCTTGCTGTTTTGCTGTTTCCTGCTGCCATGAACTGCTGTCCTCTGTCATGTGCCACTCTGCTTTGGAGCCAGCCAAGTATGAACTGAAATCTCCATATACTGTGTGCTAAATAAACCTTTCCTTCTTTCATTTTGGGTGTCAGGTGAGAGAAAAATAACCAAGACAAGTGGGTAGCACTCACACCCAGGTTGGGGGCCCTTAATCTTAGCATCGCATCATGAATCAGTCTCAACATCACATCCTCTAGACACAGCCACCTCCGAAAAGCTCTACCAATGACTTCATGAAGCTTCTCTGGGAACATCTGGATACAAACCACACAGAGGTCATTTGCTATGTACACTTGTTTTATAAGAGCTTTTGTACTTATATTTTATACTTATTTTTTTTTTTAATTTTCTGGTATTTTATTAAAAATATAAACTAATGATCTTGCACTTAAGTATGACTGTGGTTATGTGTTGACTCCCAGTAAGCATAGCTATTTGTAAGGAATTCATCACAAATATACTCTGTACAGAACTAAAAATGTAAATAGAAATGACAAGACAGTGACATTTTGGACATGACCACCTTACAATAAAAATGGAGTCTGAGATTATTTACAATCACAGCAACCTTTGTAGAGGCTGAATATTACCAGCATAAGGGCACACTATGACCACAAGACATCTTTTCAGACTTCCCAATAGTTTTATATTTTAGCTATAAGGGTCAGTTACTAGAGCCCAACTTGTTCTTGACAAACAGAACTTTCATGTCCATTCAATCAAAGAGTCTCTTACACCTTTCTTGGCCTATTCATTTGCAGGTAGGCAGGAGAAACTGTAGCCAGGTTCTTCTATCATATGTTTATACAGGATGTCTCATCTTCATATACTGTCCAATTTCTTCAAGATAAATGGAGTGACTCGCAGCAGGGCTACGTAGATGAGGAAGTTCCGTACGGAGGAAATCACATCCTCGCGCATCTTCCGTTTCATTTCTTCAGGGTCCAGCTTCGGTGCAAGGCCCTCGATCCGAAACATCTTCACTCTGCAGCAACACCTTCCAGTTGCTGCGCTTTGCTCTCTATATATTTTATACTTATATTTCATGCTGTCATACTCTTCTGTAACTTGTTTTTCTTACTGATAATAGTTTTGAGCATCTACAACAAGGAGTATATCAAAATTTTCTTTGTGTGCATCATCAGCACTTAAATGGTTTAAGTCATCATCAAGTTACATATGATGTCCTATATAGCTAGCATATTTTCTTAATTTTTGAGTGCCTGTTCACAATAAAGGAATCTACTATTGTCCTCCTATGGTTACGATTGTACTATAATTTTCCTAATTCTAGTCTGTTGCAAGCCAAAGTTTCTTTTGTTTTGTTTTTGCTGTTGTAAGTAACATTTTAGAATAAATTCTTAGAATTTGAATTTCTGTGTTAAATATACCTTTAAAGAGTTTTAGGGGCCGGGGGATAGCTCAGTAAAATAAGTGCTTGCCTGACTAGCACAAGGACCTGAGTTCAATCCCCAGTTCCACAAAAAAAAAAAAAAAAAAAAAGTTTGATACAGGTATTGTTAAATTGCTATTTAGGAACTGTACTATACTATGTTACTATATGTTCTCACCATCAGTGTGGAAACATATCTATTTGCCTATCAGATAATCCCCTTTCCCAACTGTGTTTGATGTCTACCATGATTTTAAGCCCAATCCATATTTCCAGAATTTTGTCTTTATACCTTAACTTATGCTTTATTTTCTCTTCACCATCTGTTTTCACTGGGTATCAAACCCAAAGCCTTGACATACTAGGCCCTGCCAGTGAGCTTTATCCTTCACCACTCAAGTCTTTTCTTTTCTTTTTTTTTTGGTGGAACCAGGCATTGAACTCAGGCCTTTGCAGTTGCCAGGAAAGTGCTTATTCCAAAGTCCTGTCTTTTTGGAAGGGCTTTTTACTCCTTTCTCTGGACGATTCTACGTGTCCTTTAAAACTATAAGGTTAGCAGGTTTGTATAATTTATTTCTATGACCATTACTTGACCAAGGACATTTCTTTCTTATTTATTTATTTAGTATTTCTTAGTAAGGGTCTACAGGGTCTCACTACATAGATTGGACTCGTAGAGATCCTCCTGTTTTTAGCCTCCCAAGTGCTGGGATTACAGGTGCATGCCACCAAGCCCAGTCTACATCACTGTCTCAGCATGCCCTGGGGGAAGGGCATTCAGGGCCTGCTGGGAACAAACCTCAGTCCCCCGTCTGCCCCAGCAGGTGTTTTAATCCACTGAGCTATCTATCTTTTCATAAGAAGTTTATATTTGAAATGATAAGAAAATTGTAACCTGGGACATATTACCCTGCCCCAACCTTGCCTTTTGTCTGAAATCAGGGAAAATTTACTAAGTAAGTACTAGTAGAAATCTGAGGGCTGGCCTGATAGCTCAGTGGACTAAAGGGCCTGCATAGACAGAGCACAGCAGCCAGGATTTGATCCTTGGTGTGCTGTGCCGGCCTGGCCTGCTGGGCATGCTGAGATGGCGATTGAGACTGGGCGTAGTGGTGCACCTGTAATCCCCGCTCTTGGAAGGCTGAAAGCAGGAGAATCACTATGAGTCTGGTCTACATAGTGAGACCCTGTAGACCCTGTCCTAAATACAGGGGGAAAAAAAAAGAAATCTGAAACTTCTGAACCCTCTGGGCCCTGTGTCATAATTTTTACATTCTATCTTTTAAGGTTAAATTTTATTCTGGTGACTTTCTCCGTGGGCAAAGTGAGAGTGGTAGAGGAGGGAGGGGATGCAACTCGATGGTCATTCCTGGTGCCAGGTGGATTGCCATGGAGTCCTGGAAAGGGGGTGGATGCTTAACAGGAAGGGTGTATTGAGGTATTCTGAATTAACTAAGCCAAGTGAAAGCCCTGGAAACTCCCAAGAATAGCACTAGGGTGTGATGCTGGACTTGACAGAGAAACTGTTACAGCTGTAATGTAAAGGGCAAGGAAGCTGCTCAAAGAGCTGCAACATGAAGTTGTGACTACTTTCTACTTTGGAGAGTTGATCAGCTGTAATTGAGAAATTATCTGGGAATTTATATTACAGTTGCAACCTGCCAAACAGCACCCATATAAGCACAACTGAGTGCACTGTCTGCCAAAGTATCAGTTGATTCAGGTACATTTTAAGAATAGGGAAGATAAGTCAGTATAAAATGGAAATTGTTGATCCTTATGCAGTATTTCTTGGCTTAGGAGAGTTGAGATAATGAGCTAAAAGGATAAGCTTTAGATGGGAACAAATTCTGTGATCTGCTGCAAAGGTAGGAGGAAACTTTCCAGCAATATTTTAAGCAAATTAGAGATGAGTACCAGCACCTACAGGTACTCCCCCGACAGAAGAACATGTGCAGCACCTGGGTTTCCTACTGGCAGGCCCCTGCCTCTGGTCTGCTGCCCCTACATATTTCAGTTGGCTTGCTTTCCTATCCCATTGTTGGGCTGTGTCAGCATCTGAGCACCCCAAGATGTTTGCCTGTGTATACAGGTTTTCTTCCCAGGTACCAATTCTTGTCTTTATGACCTCTCTAGGTACACACTTGAATAGGTTGTGGGTGGTTATCCCATTCCCCATCCCCCATCTTTGTTATTTTTATTATTTTTCTGGAACCGGGGATTGAGCTCAAGACCTTACTCTTGCCAGGCAGGTACTTAGGCTGCTAAGCTATCTCACTAGCCCATCTTTGTTATTTTTAGTGTGAGCTGTTTTTCAGGAATGCATACTTCCAATCAAACAGAAAATGCCTGTATTTCTTTCTTGAATTTTTTCCGAAGGACGTTTTAATTTATTACTATTGTTACATCTAACTGTGAACTCCAGTTTCTTTTATGTGTGTGTATGTATATATGTACATATGTATATATTTGGTACAAGGTCTCACTATGCAGCTTGGACTCCTAGTGATCCTCCTGTTTTCAGCCTCCCTAGCACTGGGTTTATGGGTGTGTGCCATTATTCCTGGTCTCATTGGCTAGCTCGGATGCTCGAGGGTACAGTTGGTACAGCATGTGGTGCTGGCAGTCGAACCCCTATGTGTAAGCAGGCGCTTGGTCCACTGTGCTATCTTGCTGGCCTTGTGAACTCCAATTTCTAATAAATAGTGCTTATTTTTCAGAATTTGATGTCTTGAAATCATTCTGACTCTTCAAAACCTTTACTTTCTTCATCGTTTCGATGCTCTTACCTGCTTTCCATCCTTTCTGTGATTATCTCCCCTGTCCTCTTTAGTTTCATTGTATATTTATTATGTGTACAGAGTTCGGGAGGTTTTGACATTTAAAGTGCTTATGAGTCTTCCATTAGCATAAATTAAGTTTAAGAGCTTTTGTTTTTTAATAGTAAGGATATTTCACTATTTATTTTGATAAAAAAGCAGCATTAGAAAATTTTTTATGGCAGCAAATATATAAAATTGGAGTAAATTGATTAATCTTATGTAAGCATGCATATATTAT